AGAAAGGTATAAAATACCGACAATATGAAAGTTAAGACACATGTGCAACATCTGGATATCTTTATTGTAGACGTTTCGCCAACCAGTGGCTTTATCAATACAGATTCTAGGACATAATAGGAAGACAGTAGAACTATATACAAAAGATGAGGTAATCAGTCCCTCGGCCTTGGAGTTAGTGTTCACAGCATCGTGGTGGAGGAGAATCTGGAGAAAAGGCAAGAAGACTGGCGGTTATATACGCGTCAGTGGATAGGGACGGGCAGCAGACGAGGGCAGTCACTGGTAGGCGGGATTCCCCAGTGGAAGTAGGTCCTTCCCAAAGAGATAAAACTAACCCATCTCTTTGGGAAGGACCTACTTCCACTGGGGAATCCCGCCTACCAGTGACTGCCCTCGTCTGCTGCCCGTCCCTATCCACTGACGCGTATATAACCGCCAGTCTTCTTGCCTTTTCTCCAGATTCTCCTCCACCACGATGCTGTGAACACTAACTCCAAGGCCGAGGGACTGATTACCTCATCTTTTGTATATAGTTCTACTGTCTTCCTATTATGTCCTAGAATCTGTATTGATAAAGCCACTGGTTGGCGAAACGTCTACAATAAAGATATCCAGATGTTGCACATGTGTCTTAACTTTCAAAGAATGAGTGCATGAGAGAGGACAGGCGCAGAGTTATGTAAACAAACCAGGCGAAGGTAAGTTTTGTAAACAGTGTACACGTCTGGTTTGTGTACAAGTTACATTGTGTACAGGTTGTCTCTACATTGATACGGTAGAATAAATAAAGAAGAACACTCCCATTCTCATGTAACATCATTTTGAGAAGAAATGATGCTCTGAGTGAAAGCAATGGAAGTAAGTCACTCTGACTTTTTTGGGTTATCCTAGGTTCTCTACACATATGTTGTTATGTATTTATGTTATGTATCGTGTTTATTATATAATTTTGAAAAAAATATCACGGATGGATTAATGAAAATGTGTATATTAACGTAATATACAACATTTAATGATACACCAAGCTCAGACAGCGTAAACAAACTGAACAGGTTGTGGACGATCACTCGGTCAGGCGAAATAGACGATATTAATACATGTCCAGTTTTAGTTCATTCATGTACATTTGTAAGAGTTTGTGAAACTTTTACCTTATAATATTTTTATTATTATTATAATAATTAAATCACGAAACAAATACTCTTACACTGTGTACAAGTTAGTACAGAATTATAGCTATAAAGTGAAGGCATACGAAAGGAATATTTTTCTACAGTTATCCCTAGTAACAGGTGATGGGCTAGAGAAAACGTAATTCTTCCGACACTTCTACAAACCGTTTGGTAAACATCTCATATATATTTGTATAAATTTTTATACTGTGGGTGCATGTATCATGTTTGTGTGTTACATAATGTGTTTCTTATATAATTTTGAAAAAAATATCATAGATAGATTAAGGGAAATGTCTATATTAACGTAATATGCGACATTAATGCGCCCAAGAGATTATTATTATTACTATTATTATTATTATTATTATTGCATCAAGAGTAGAGAGACTCTTAGTGATTTTAATGTGTACCTACATGCCAGCACAGTGTGTAAGTTTATTTAGGTACAGGTGTACACAAGTTTAATTATCAAGTACAATACATATAAAATATACAATAACTTTAAAACACTTGAAATTTTGGAAAGTTTCCAGACATAATAAGGAGATGTGCTTAGGGAGAATGTAAACAAACTCGGTGGGCCGCTGTGACCGTATTAGAAAGACAGGTGGGGGGAGCCGTATAGCGAGTTTTGGTCATAATTTGAAATGTCCGTATTAGCGGAATGCCGTAAAGCGAAACGCCGTAAAGCGGGGCCCTGCTGTAATCTACACAGATAAGAGAAAATTAGTTTTACAGATACAGTAAAGAATAAAAAGTTACACTGTAATAACAACAGCACAGCAATAACAACAGATAATGCTGCATTCAAGTGAATTGAAACTAGTATTTTTTTCTTACAAAATGTGTGTTGTATAAACAATCCTTATGCATGGCACCTTCAGATGGAATAAGTTTAACTTACTTAACAAACATTTTGCCCTTCAAATAGAAAGCTCTTGCTCCAAGAAATTAGGAGTGTTAGTACAGTGGATCCTGGGGTAACGACATTAATCCGTTCCAGAGAGCTTGTCTTTAACTGATTTTTTCGTTATCTGAATTAATTTTCCCCAAAAGAAATAATGGAAATCCAATTAATCCGTTCTAGACACCCAAAAGTATTAAACAAAATAATTTTTTTCATGAAATATACATTTCCCTACACAGAAAACAATGAGACATGCAGAATAAACAATACTGAAATGACACTTACCTTTATTGAGGACTTGTTGATGAGTGATGAGATGGGAGGAGGGCAGAGGATAGAGGAGTTTACAATTGTTTGGAAGGGGAATCCCCTTCCATAAAAACTTTAGGTAACAAGCCCTTTTCTGGGGTTACCTCCCTTCTTTGTTTTTTAATGCCACTAGGACCAGCTTGAGAGTCACTGGACCCCTGTCGCACCAAAAAACTGTTCAGAGAGCTCCGTTTCTGGTGTTTCTTTAAGATTTCCCTAAAATGGGACACAATATTGCCATTGTACATGTTGCCAATACGGCCTACAACAGCTGTGTCAAGGTAATGTTCATCAATAAAAGTTTGCACTTCAGTCCACTTTGCACAAATGTCCTTAATCTCTGAAGAAGGCAACTTCCTCCATCTCTCTTCCTCCTCCTAAGAAGGAAATTCCAGAGCTGTGGTCTGTTGCTGTTGCACCTCAAGCTCTTGCAGCTCTGTAGTCGTTAGCTCCTCATCGTCATCCTCTACCAACTCTTCCACATCCTTGCCACTAACCTCCAATGCCACAACAGATACCACAACTGGCATAGGCTCCTCAGGGTTAGCCCCAAACCCTTCAAAATCCCTCTCTTGTAAACATTCTGGCCACAATTTTCTCCAAGCAGAGCTCAAAGTCCTGGAAGTCACTCCCTCCCAAGCCTTACCTATAAGGTTTATGCAACTGAGGATACTGAAGTGATCTTTCCAGAACTCTCTTAGGGTCAATTCAGTGTCTGAGGTCACTTCAAAGCACTTTTGAAACACTGCTTTGATGTACAGTTTTTTGAAGCTTGAAATGACCTGCTGGTCCATGGGCTGGAGGAGAGGAGTGGTGTTAGGAGGCAAAAACTTGACTTTGATGAAACTAAACTCCCCCACAATTCGCTCTTCCAAGTCTTGAGGATGAGCAGGAGCACTGTCCGTTAACAAGAGGCACTGGAGTGGCAATTTATTTTCCAGGAGGTATTTTTTCACACTGGGGCCAAACATGTCATAGAACCAACTGAGGAAAATGCCCCAAGTGACCCATGCCTTACTGTTTGCTCTCCACATCACACACAATTTAGTCTTGATAACACTGTTTTTCTTGAAAACACTGGTAGTTTCAGAGTGATACACAAGTCAAGGCTTCACTTTGCAATCCCCACTAGCATTACTACAAAACACAAGAGTTAGCTTGTCTTTCATAGGCTTGTGTCCTGGGAGTGCCTTTTCCTCCTGAGTAATGTAGGTCCTGTTTGGTATTTTCTTCCAAAACAGGTCTGTTTCGTCACAATTGATCACTTGTTGGGGTTTTAATTGTTCAGCCTCTATGTACCCCTTAAAGTCCTGCACATATTTTTTCAGCTGCTTTTTTGTCAGAACTGGCAGCCTCACCATGCCTTATCACACTGTGTATGCCACTACGATTCTTAAATCTCCCAAACCAGCCTTTGCTGGCCTTAAATTCATCATTATGAGCACTATTTGGAGGCATTTTCTCAATGAGATCCGCATGCAACTGTCTTGCCTTTTCACATATTACTGACTGAGAAACACTATCTCCTGATAATTATTTCTCGTTAATCCACACCAACAACAGTCTCTCCACATCTTCAAGTATTTGTGATCTCTGTTTTGTAAGCATACTTGCACCTTTCGCAACAACAGCTTCCTTCATTGCCTTTTTGTTGGCCAAGATAGTAGCGATGGTTGAATGGGGTTTGTTATATAACCTGACCAACTCGGAGACACACACTCCACTTTCGTATTTTGCGATGATCTCTTTCTTCAATTCAATAGTATTTCTCACCCTCTTTACCAGAGGGATGGCACTATAAGCTTTCTTTGGGCCCATGGTGGCTTATTTAGCAGTTACAAGCACTAAAAACAATGGAATAATACAAAATGTATCGGATGTACGTGTGGAATCATCCTCACTGGCTTGTAAACAATGGCACACTAGCTGTACATGGACTGGCCAGGCCACTCAGGACACGCGGACACGTTCGGGGCGTAAGTCCTTAACCGAGTTCTTTTTCGGTAAATGAGCCAATATTTTGATGCAAAACCTTGTCGCTATCTGATTTTTTTCGTTATCCAATGACATCGTTACCAGAGGGTCCACTGTAATCTCTTCTCCTGTATATATGGTAGTACCTCGAATATGTATCAGCAGAAATTCGTTCCAGAAGGCCTGGTCACAGACCGGGCCGCAGGGGCGTTGACCCCTGGAACTCTCTCCAGGTAAACTCCAGGAGTGTCGTTACCAAACGAATTTGTTCCCCCAAGGAATAATGTAAATTAGATTAGTCCGTTTCAGATCCCCAAAAATACACTTACAAAAATACACTTAAATAATTGTTCGAGTTGGAAGTTGTTCGAAATTCAAGGTACCACTGTATTACTAAATTTAAAGAGAGGAACTTTTGTTTTTCTTTTTGGGACACCCTACCTAAGTAGGATACAGCCAGTGTATTGCGAGAAAGAAGAATAGTAAAATAATAATAACAGAGAAACTTTTGTTTTTCTTTTGAGGTCACCTTTCTGTGGTGGGATATGACCAGTTCATTGAAAAAACAACAATAAAAATAATAATAATAATAATAATAATAATAATAATAATAATAATGAAAACATTCTTACCTGGTATTTGAAGATGCTGTCCAGCGATCGATGATGGCCGGTAAAGAGATCAAGAATAGCTATCCATATGCCAAGTCCTACATAATAAACAGCCTGAAGAAAAAAGGGAGTATTACTTACCATTCAGTCTCACTTGAAATCAAGTTTAATTTCATTTCATTATACTATATGCTGTAATATGCATTACAGCTAGCCCTCCACTTTCGTGAGCTTCGAACATTTGCGAATGCCCAGCCGCCCAGTCATATTTACCACACAAATGTGGGAAAAAAGTACGGGAAAATGCAGATCCAGATATGAGTGTCACTCAATACTGGAAGAAATTCACCATTGCAGACTGCCTCTCAATAGTGCATGAGAGTGCCAAGGATTTGTGCCCTCAGACAGTGAAGGGTTGTTGGAGGGCTTTTTGGCCAGTGTGTGCTTGTGATTTTGTTGGATTTGGTCCTCAGGACGAGGTTAACAAAGCCATGAGGAAGACTTTGAGGTTAGCAAGGCTAGCTGGTGGTGAAGGGTTCAAGAACATGCAAGAGGGTGAGGTGAGAGAACTGGTTGAAAAACATGCACTGGGCCTAAATGATGAAGAATTGTTGGTGATTGTGCAGACAGAGAGTGAAGATGAAGATCAGGAGAGTGTTGCTGAGGCCAGTTAACCTCAAGCCCTCACCCTTGAAAAACTAGGGCAAGTAATGACAATGACAGCACAGCTCAAAACAATTTTCTTACAACATAAACCCATCGACGTTGAGGGCTTTGAAGGTGATGAGCGACACTGATAGGACCATAATTCCCTACAAAACTGTTTGTAGATATGAAGAGGAATTGGTCTCAGTTGCCCATCACAATGTTCTTCACCAGGAAGCCTGCCACCACCCCTGCCGCTACCCCTACCACCTCACCTGAACCTCAACTCGTGGCAGAATCTGGCTCCATTGCTAACTCTGACTCTAGCAATGTCAGCAGTGATGCTGGCAGTGAAGAGCTAGAATCCACACACTAGACTCATCATGCCATGCAGTTACACTCCATATAATCAACTCCATTCAACTGTCATCAGTAACACGTTATCATCACCATCATCGTCGTCATTGTCATCATCATCACAAGTCATCAGAGTTCGTCTGCCTAACCTTACAAGTGGTGAGTGTTTTGTTTGTTCATTATTTGTTATTAAACCATAACATGTATATACAATATTTTACAAAGTTTTCATGTCTTTTATGATTGTTCTTGGTTCAATAATGGAAATAAGTCACTCTGGCTAACTTTTTTGAGTTATCCTAGGTACTTTACACATATGCTGCCATGTATGATAATCTATGTAACTGTATTTGTGTATACCTGAATAAACTTACTTACAAAGGAAGTAGTATTGTTAGGCTAAGTAAATGCTATTATTATATTTCCCTACAAGATATTTGCGCATCAAAACATACACGAACGCTACAGTACAGTATTATTATATTTCCCTACATCATATTTGAGCACCAAACATTCATGAATTTTCAAGATTCACGAGGTTCTTGATCCCCTAACCCTCGCAAATGTGGAAGGCCTCTTGTATATTTAAGAAGCCTCAATGGCAAAAATATGTGATGTGTATACAGATCACTGCCAGTGGAAAATGTTCTACATACACTGTCTTATTGTACTGTTATGAGGGCCACTTAGTGATAAACAGCAGATTGCAGATGCTATGAGTGTTGTGTAATGAAATCTGGTATATTAATGTTTTAGAGATTTCAAATAGCACTGTTTGAATTCCACATAAATTATGTACACTACTCTTATTATTATTCACATTACAAACTTATCAAGTACGTATTTAGCTGGATTTACATACAGTATTTAAAAATATTAGTAATTAGAATTGATGAGGGGAAAAAGGTGAGTGGTGCACTGAGGAGTCTGTGGAGACAAAGAACTTTGTCCATGGAAGCAAAGAGGGGAATGTATGAGAGTATAGTTGTACCAATGCTCTTGTATAGGTGTAAAACATGGGTGGTGAATGTTGTAACAAGAAGGCTGGAGGCAGTGGAGATGTCATGTCTGAGGGCAATGTGTGGTATGAATATAATGCAGAGAATTCGTAGTTTGGAAATTAAGAAGAGGTGCGGGATTACCAAAACTATTATTGTGAGGGCTGAGGAGGGGTTGTTGAGGTGGTTCAGACATGCAGAGAAGCTGGAACAAAATAGAATGACTTCAAGTGTATAAATCTGTAGTGGAGGGAAGATGGGGTAGGGGTCGGCCTAGGAAAAGTTGGAGGGAGGGGATAAAAGAGGTTTTGTGTGTGAGGGGCTTGGACTTCCAGCAAGCGTGCGTGAACGTGTTTGATAGGAGTGAATGGAGACAAATGGTTTTTAGGACTTGACATGCTGTTGGAGTGTAAGCATGGTAACATTCATGAAGGGATTCAGGGAAACTGGCAGGCCGGACTTGAGTCCTGGAGATGGGAAGTAGTGTCTGAACTCTGAAGGAGGGGTGTTAATGTTGTGGTTTTATAACTGTATTGTAAGAGTGCCAGTGGCAAGACAGTGATGGCGTGAATGATGACGAAAGTTTTCTTTTTTGGGCCACCCTGCCTTGGTGGGAGACGGCCGATTTGTCAATAAAAAAAATAATAAAATAATATTTGTTGTAATATTTAAATTTCCATTAACTTATTATAGTATGACCAAAAGGGTGTACAAATCTTGGGTGAAAGGAAGGAAGGAGGCATAGGGGTCATCCTTGGAATGGTTGGAGGGACGTGGTAAAAATTCTGAGTGCTAGAGGATTGAGTATCCAACAGGCTAGTGTGCATATGTCAGATAAGAGTGAGTGGTAACAAGTGATTTTTATGACTTGCTATGCTGCTGGAATGTGCACGGTAACATTTGGTGTGTAGTACAATGCATGCACTCTGAAGGATGGATGAGGATATTACAGTTCAGAGGATCATTTGACGTGTGATGTCTGTGCATTTCTGGTAAGACAGCTACTGAATTAACGATGGTGAATGAGTTTCTTTTCCTGGGGTCATCCTATCTTGGTGGGAAATGGTCAGTGTGGTTAAAAATAAGGGTGCTGTAATTTAAAAGATTTATTAAAAACTAGTTTCCCTCTTAAATTTAAATTTATTACCATCATTACAGGATATTTATCAATTTAAACTTTATAACAATATTTAAATTGTTTCCCTACCTGAAATCTGATCACACTATCTATAGTACAATATACTGTATTATAGTATACTAGCACATCACCTTCAATTTGGACATTGGTAGATTTTCACGTCATTAGGAATATTTTTATTATGCAAGTGCATTTACTCTATACTACAGTGGACCCTTGTTTTTCGCAAGCTTTGGAAGTCGTAATTTTCGAAAATCATAACTTTTTTTCATCAAAACATTGACTTGCGAATTGTCATTTGACTCGCAAATAGTCGTTCATCCCAGACGTGTATGCATGGCCCTGAGCAACCCCACACTCCATTCCCAGCCAGTGTGCCACTCTTTATCAGCGAGCGAGGACGATCCCACACGTTCATACGATATATTCCATTCGTTTTAGTGCTTGCAACTGCTCAATAAGTCACCATGGCTCCAAAGAAAGCCCCTAGTGTCAGGCCTTTGGTAAAGAAGGTGAGAAACACAATAGAATTCAAGAAAGACATCATTGAAAAATATGAAAGTGGACTGCATATCACAGAGCTTGCCAGGTTGTATTACAAACCCCATACAACCATCTCTTCCATCATGGCCAAGAAAAAGGAAATCAAGGAAGCTGTTGTTGCAAAAGGAGTAAATATGCTCACAAAAATGAGATCGCAAGTGCTCAAAGATGTTGAGAAGTTATTGTTGGTGTGGATCAATGAGAAACAATTAGCAGGAGATAGTGTTATGCAGTCAATAATTTGTGAAAAGGCAAGGCAGTTGCATGACGATCTCAAAGAAAATGCCTGCAACGAGTGCTGATGTTAGTGAATTTAAGGCCAACAAAGGCTGGTTTGAGAGATTTAGGAAGTGCAGTGGCATACACAGTGTGGTAAGGCATGGTGAGGCTGCCAGTTCTGACAAATATGTGCGTGAATTCAAGGGGTACATAGAGGCTGAAGAATTCAAACCCCAACAAGGGTTCAATTGCGATGAAAATGCCAAGGAGGACTTACATCACGCAGGAGGAAAAGGCACTACCAGGACAAGCCTATGAAAGACAGGCTTACTCTTTTGTTCTGTAGTAATGCTAGTGGGGATTTCAAAGTGAAGCCTTTACTGGTGTATCACTCTGAAAATCCCAGAGTGTTCAAGAAAAACAGTGTCACCAAGAGTAAATTGTGTGTGATGTGGAAGGCTAACAGTAAGGCATGGGTCACAAGGGAAATTTTCCTTGATTGGTTCAATGAAGTGTTTGGCCCCAGTGTGAAGAAAAACCTCCTGGAAAATAAATTGGAACTCAAGTGCCTCCTGGTAATGGACAATGCACCTGCTCATCCTCCAGACTTGGACAACCAAATTGTGGAGTTTCGTTTCATCACAGTGAAGTTCCTGCCCCCTAATACCACTCCTTTCATCCAGCCCATGGACCAGTAGATCATTTCAAACTTCAAAAAACTCTACAGCAATGTTTCAAAGGTGCTTTGATGTGATCTCAGACATTCAATTGACCCTAAGAGAGTTTTGGAAAGATCACTTCAGTATTCTCCATTGCATAAACCTTACAGGTAAGGCTTTGGAGGGAGTGACTGCCAGGACTTTGTACTCTGCTTGGGGAAAATTGTGACCAGATTGTGTCCAAAAGAGGGATTTTAAAGGGTTTGGGCTGACCCTGAGGACCCTATGCCAGTTGTGGAATCTATTGTGGAACTGGGGAATTCCATGGGGCAGGATGCGAGTAGTGAGGATGTGGAAGAATTGGTGGAAGACCACAATGAAAAGCTAACCACTGAAGAACTGCAAGAGCTTCATCTGCAACAGAAACAGACCACAGCTCAGGAAATTGCTTCAGAGGAGAAGGGAGAGAGATGGAAGAAGGTGCCTTCTTCAGAGATTAAGGAGATTTGTACAATTTGGAGTAGGATGTAAAGATTTGTGGAGGAACATCACCCTGACAAAGCTCTTGCAAGCCGTGTTGGCAACATGTACAATGACAAAATCTTGTCCCATTTTAGGGAAATTTTAAAGAGATCCCAGAAACAGAGCTCTCTGGACAGATATTTGGTGTCACAGGTGTACATTGACTCTCAAGCTGGTCCTAGTGGCATTAAAAAACAAAAAAAGGGAAGTAACCCCAGAAAAGCACTTGGTACTTGAAGTCTTTATTGAAGGGGATTCCCCTTCCAAACAGTAATTAATCCATCCTCTCCCCTCCTCCCGTCTTCCACATACTAAGAAGAATCGTCAATAAAGGTAAGTGTCATACTATTATTGTTTATTCTTCATGTCTCATTGTTTACTGTGTAGGTAAATGTATATTTCATGTAAAAAAATTATTTTGTTTTAATACTTTTGGGTATCTTGAACGGATTAATTGGATTTACGTTATTTCTTATGGGGAAAATGGTTTTGCAAATCGTCAGTTTCAATATTAGTCACTCTCTCTGGAACAGATTAATTACAAAAAATGAGGGTCCACTGTAACTAGCAGATTATCATGCTTTTATGATTTTAAGTGCGCTTATATTGTTAGTGGATGAGTTTGGTAGGGTATGTAAAAGAAGAAAATTAAAAGTGAATATAGGAAAGAGTAAGGTGATGAGGATAACAAAAAAAATTAGGTAATGAAAGATTGGATATCAGATTGCAGGGAGAGAGTATGGAGGAGGTGAATGTATTCAGATATTTAGGAGTGGACATGTCAGTGGACATGAAAGATGAGGTGAATCATAGACTGATGAGGGGGAAAAGGTGAGTGATGCACTGAGGAGTCTGTGGAGACAAAGAACTCTGTCCATGGAAGCAAAGAGGCGGAATGTATGAGAGTATAGTTATACCAATGCTCTTATATGGGTGCGAAGCATGGGTGGCGAATGTTGCAACAAGGAGAAGGCTGGAGGCAGTGGAGATGTCATGTCTGAGGGCAATGTGTGGTGTAAATATAACGCAGAGAACTCAGGTGTGGGAGGAGGAGGTGTGGGATTACCAAAACTATTATCCAGAGAGGTGAGGAGGGGTTGTTGAGGTGGTTCGGACATGCAGAGAGGATGGAACTAAATAGAGTGTATAAATCTGTAGTGGAGCGATGGCAGGGTAGAGATCAGCCTAGGAAAGGATGGAGGGAGGGGGTAAAGGAGGTTTTGTGTGCGAGGGGCTTGGACTTCCAGCAGGCATGCGTGAGTGTGATAGATAGGCGTGAATGGAGACAAATGGTTTTTAGGACTTGACATGCTGTTGGAGTGTGAGTAGGGTAAGGGTAATACTTATGAAGGGATTCAGGGAACCCAGCAGGCCGGACCTGAGTCATAGAGATGGGAAGTACAGTGCCTGCACTCTGAAGGAGGGATGTTAATGTTGCAGTTTTATAATTGTAGTGTAAACACACCTCTGACAAGACAGTGATGGAGTGAATGATGGTGAAAGTTTTTCTTTTTTGGGCCAATGTGCCTTGGTGGGAAATGGCCTGTGTTAATAAAAATAATAATAAAATTATACTGTGTTAATTTCCTAAACTGTTTATTAAAATTATTTTCATTATTATTTTCAGCACTTTTATTATTAATGCCAGCTTACTCTAAAAGTTTTATGTGAATAAAAGTGCTGAAAATCTGGAATAAATTACCAAATTAAGCCAAAAAAAATTTCATTTAAAATATGATAAAATACTGTGTACATAACTAATGTAATCAAATTCCTTAGCTCCATGAATTTTCAGCGACTTTAATTGCTATTAAGCTTTTATTTTTATACCTGGAGAGGGTTTCGGGGGTCAATGCCCCCACAACTCGGTCTGAGACTTTGCTTTCTTGGCTTTCTTGTAAAATTTAGCTCCTTAGCTTTATCTTTTTATATATTTTTTATATATGAGGGCATCTCACACACACACTCACTCTTCAGTTTGTATTTAAAATGTAATGCAAGGTTGACCTTAAACAATTTTACTAGAGACCATACCTGCATAGTAATTATCTGAGATATGATGAGTGGTGGGTCCCATATCTTATATCGGAAACTTCCAGCCATTATTAACCTGAAAAGCAATTAAAAACTAAGAATTGAAGACAAAAAAAAAAAAAAAAAAGAAAATACATAGGTGAGGTTTGGATTACTTGAAAGCTAAGATTCATATAAACAGGTTCATAGTCAGGGATAATAGACTAAACTGACAGTCAGTTTTGGATAAATTAAGAACTGGGTGGATAAAATATATGGTGATAATGCATACATTAGGTCAGGTGAAAGAGCTTACAACAGGTATTATTATTATTATTCTTATAATCATAAAAATAATTTCTATGAAGTACATGATACAACCAATACAGACTTAGTTGACATTATTGGCATACCGTGGATATGCAGAGCATTTCAGGAAGCCAAGATGCGATGCACAACTCTCAGCAAACACCAAAGTACCTACTTACCGCTAGATGAACAGGGGCAGAAGTTGTGAATACACATACCCAATGTTTCATCTGTGCTGGAGATCTATCCTGCACCCTCAGTGTGAGAGATGAGATTGCTACCAACCAAGCTATTAGTTGTTTTATAATGAGAGTGTTGAAGAAGTTGGCACGTCTGGAGGTTTTTGCATCCTCACTAATGAGTTCCATATTTTGGGGCCATTAATTTACAAGGAGATTCTAAACAGGTTAAGTTGAGCATGTGGTATGTGAAAATGATACTTGTTCTTTGCATTTAATTTGCATGAAGATTCTAAACAGGTAAAGTCAACCATGTGGTACTTCAAAGAGATACTTGTTCTTTGCATTGTGTCTATGCATCAATATACAGCTCTCCAAGAAGAGTCTGAACAATGGGTCAATGTTAGAGTTGAGTGTTCTGTAAACAGTAGCCACAGTAGTGTGAATATTATGTAAGTTGAGGAAGTTTAAACTTTTGATAATAGTGGGTATTTTTTTGTGTTACAAACCGAGTCAAGCACAATTAAAAAGTATCTTGTGGAGTGGTAGCACATTTGGTTCGCAACCAAATGAGGCAGGACATATAAGAAATAGTCTTAATCTCTACTGCCCATACTTTATTGTGATTTACACCCTGGGAAAGACCTTAAAATGAATCCCGAAAGAAATAAGTCACAATGCTTGACTTTCTTGGGTTAACCTGGGTTGCTGTTATCTTGGGGTTATGAACCCTAGTCTACCCAAAAATGCATAGTATAAGTACAGTGGACCCCCGCATACCATACGCATCGCATACCGTTCAATCCACATACCGCTCGCTTTTATCGCAAAAATTTTGCCTCGCATACCGCCCAAAAACCCGCTCACCGCTCTTCGTCCGAGACGCGTCCAATGTGCAACCTTAGCCAGCCTCACATGTGCCGCCGGTGGCATTGTTTACCAGCCAGCCTCCGCGGTAACATCCAAGCATACAATCGGAACATTCATATTATTACAGTGTTTTTGGTGATTTTTTCTGGAAAATAAGTGACCATGGGCCCCAAGAAAGCTTCTAGTGCCAACCCTACAGCAATAAAGGTGAGAATTACTATAGAGATGAAGAAAAAGATCATTGATAAGTATGAAAGTGGAGCGCGTGTCTCCGAGCTGGCCAGGTTGTATAATAAACCCCAATCAACCATCGCTACTATTGGTGGTACAGCTGCTGCTGCTGTTGTACCACCGTCAGCTGCTGCTGCTGCTGCTGTAGCACCGTTGTTGGTGTGGCTTATTGAGAATACCAAGAAACAATTAACCCCAGAGGATTTGCCACCCAGGATAACCCAAAAAAGTCAGTGTCATTGAAGACTGTCTAACTTATTTCCATTGGGGTCCTTAATCTTGTCTCCCAGGATGCAACCCACACCAGTCGACTAACACCCAGGTGAACAGGGAAAAATGCCTGGAACTAGTGCTCATATTGGTGAATTTAAAGCCAGCAAAGGTTGGTTTGAGAGATTTAAGAATCGTAGTGGCATACACAGTGTGATAAGGCCTGTTCTGGAAGAAAATGCCAAACAGGACCTACAGTACTCAGGAGGAAAAGGCACTCCCAGGACACAGTGTCTCATCAGTCATTGCTGCATCTTCAATAAAGGTAAGTGTCATTTATTCTTCATTTAGTAGAGTAGTACATGCACAATATATATTGTGCATGTACTACTCTACTATTGTGCATGTATCCTTCTCTTTGTGTGTAGGAAAATGTATATTTCATGTGGTAAAAATTTTTTTTTCATACTTTTGGGTGTCTTGCACGGATTAATTTGATTTCCATTATTTCTTATGGGGAAAATTCATTCGCATACCGATCATTTCGCATAACAATCAGCCCTCTTGCACGGATTAAAGTCACTATGCGGGGGTCCACTGTATAGGTTTTCCCTTATATAGCACCATCTCTGTAATACATCAGTATCCAGTACATCTTGCTGCCACGTTTGTCAAGGTTGGGAACCAAAACCAGTATGGTACTACTGAGAGGGAACACAATTTTATAGTACCTACAGTAGGTTGTCAAGTCTCAAACACCTTTTATTATACAGCAATAAAAGAGTGGAACAAACTGTCTGTACATGTCAAAGCCAGTTCTAGCATGAGGCAGTTCAGGAAGAGAGCTAAAAGGTACCTAATGAATGAAACTACAAAACGGGAGGAGAGTGATTTCTTATGTAGTAAACATTGCTGTACCTTTTATTGTAAGTTGATACTCTCTTTAATGTCCACGTAAATAACTCGGTTCACTTTATTGCTAATGTATCACCTTTTACTGTAACTGATTTTCAAAAATTGAGTTACTTATTTATATTATAACCTTACAGTTAGGCTTTAAATAATAAGATATTGCAAAGACCCCATTGAAAATAAGTCACTCTGTATGACTTTTTTGGGGTTATCCTAGATTATTTACACTGTGTATAATTATATTTACGTGTATCTGAACCTAAATAAACTTATTAATATGGGATTACCAAGGCGTCGCCCAATTTAATTGTATCTCAACCAAAAAAAAAAAAAAACAGAAATAGACCACACACGTGACTCACAGAAAAACATTTCTAACAAAGAATACTTCTAATAAGGTTGAAACTTACGATAATTAAGAAATTTTTCTTCAAGATATACGTATCGGTCTGAGAGTTTACACTGCCACTTGGTCACTGTTGTTGTGGTTCATCCTCAGGGACACACTATATAAACTTCCTCCTGAAAATTACCTCTAGATTTTAGTAAATATATTCTACACGTGTCAATAGAGAAAATTTCTTATTGATATTATCACCTTTTCTGTATTAATTGATTAGTATTTTATAATAGAGCAAAGTATATTTTTATATACTTAATTCTTGAAGCAATTTCCAACGATGTTTTTCTTAAGTAAAATTATTAAGGTACAGGTTAACATAAGTACGGTTTTCATACATAGTAACATATGTGTAAATTATCTAGGAGAAGGTAAGATATGATTTGTTGGGTTCTTTTTTTTATCCCGGGGAGGGTTAGTCACCCGGGATAACCCAAGTCAGTGCGTCTTCGAGAACCCTTTTTTTAACATCTTTATTTGCTACAAATACAACGTATACAGTCCTAGCTAACATCAATGACATACTACTATATAGAAAGCCGCTTGTTATGCAGAGCATTACGGGCAAATTAGGTCAGTTTTATCCCGGGATGTGACCCACACCAGTCGACCCAGGTACCCATTTTAAACTGATGAGTGAACATAGACAACCAGTGTGAGGAAACACGTCCAATATTTCCATCCCTTCGCCGGGAATCGAACCCAGACCCTCACCGTGTGAAGCGAGAGCTTTTGCCACCAGACCACGGGGAACCTCCCCTCAAGGGAGGTTCCTTGACGCTGGTGAGGGGGCTCTTGATCTAGGGAATTGGATCTGTGCTCTAATTCCCTGAACCGAGCCTGAATACCATCTTTTTTTTTTTTTTTTTTTTATTCGCCGGTATTCTCCCGGCCCGGGTCTTTTCCAAGTAGTGGTGACCCGGCCTTGGCTCCCTATCTGGGGAGTGTCTCGAGACTTAAGTCTCCCATGGGAGGAGGCACAAGTACCTCCTCATCTTTGGGACCAACTGTCCCCAGGCCTAGCCACATTCCCCGCCCTCACGGGGCTTGTAGGGAGAAGCTAGGCCTCTGGTCTTCCCCCTTCACAGGCGCTGTTTAATCCCTACGGGTTTAGTGCTCCATAATAATGCTGTCTTATTTCTATTGAGGTCGTTCAATTTTGTCCCCCAGGATGCGACCCACACCACATACGTTACTATGTATTATAATTTGTGTAACTATATTTAAATATGTGTACCTGTGCCTAAATAAACTTACCTACTTACTGCTAGGTAATGACCCCAGTGGAAATAAGTCACAATGACTTTTTTGGGTTACCCTAGGTAATGTATCATTGTGCTGCTCTGTATGATAATTTATGTAACTGTATTTATGTGTACCTATACATGAATAACCTTATTTTACTTAGGTAAACAGGGACAGCGGCCGTAAGAAAACATGCCCAACATTTTCACTCAATATTGACCCAGGTCACTTGTTCTATCTAGGCTGGAATATTGCTGCACACTAACAGCACCTTTCAAGGCAGGTGAAATTGCTGACCTAGAAAATGTACAGAGAACCTTCACGGCGCGCATAACGGAGATAAAACACCTCAATTACTGGGAGCGCTTGAGGTTCCTAAACCTGTATTCCCTGGAACGCAGGAGGGAGAGATACATGATTATATACACCTGGAAAATCCTAGAGGGACTAGTACCGAACTTGCACACGAAAATCACTCACTACGAAAGCAAAAGACTTGGCAGACGATGCAACATCCCCCCAATGAAAAGCAGGGGTGTCACTAGCACGTTAAGAGACCATACAATAAGTGTCAGGGGCCCGAGACTGTTGAACTGCCTCCCAGCATACATAAGGGGGATTACCAACAGACCCCTGGCAGTCTTCAAGCTGGCACTGGACAAGCACCTAAAGTCGGTTCCTGACCAGCCGGGCTGTGGCTCGTACGTTGGTTTGCGTGCAGCCAGCAGCAACAGCCTTGTTGATCAGGCTCTGATCCACCAGGAGGCCTGGTCACAGACCGGGCCGCGGGGGCGTTGACCCCCGGAACTCTCTCCAGGTAAACTCCAGGTAAACTCATGCCGAGGATTGAACCACTGGACACTGTATGAGGCGAGTGCGTCATCGACTGAGTCATAGGACCCGAATGGAACTAAGTCGCTTTGTCTGACATTTTTTGGGGAGTTATCGTAGGTAATTTACACTATGTATGATAACTATACTTACGTATACCTGTGCCTAAATAAATTGACTTACATTATAAAGCTTAGTGTTGTCACTGTGTACTCACTTATATGTGGCTGCAGAGGTCTAATCTTAGCTCCTGGCCCCGCCTCTCAACTTGCCTTTTGACAGATTCACTCTCCTAGCCTCGTGGACCCTATCATACCTATTCTTCAAGCTATGTATGTATGGAGTCTCCCCACCACTTCTTTACCAAGGTCATTCCACTTCCCGACCACTCATGTTTTCCCCTGATCCTTCTGTCCTCCAGGGTCGTTAGATTAAATTCCTTCCTTTAGCCTTTCTTCATAGCTCATATCCCTTAGTTCTTGAACTAGTCTCGTTGCATGCGTCTGCACATATTTCAAGTGGTGTCCCATAGCTTGATTGCTAACGCATTCAGCTTACACACTGAAGTCTCTAGTTCAATACCAGGTACGGGTGGAAACATTAGGATGTGTTACCTTTTAAGTCACCTGCTGTTCTTGTTCACCTACCAGTAAAATAGGTATCTGGGTATTTGTCAATTGGTGTGGGTTGCATCCTGGGGACAAAATTAACCTAATTTACCCAAAATGCTCTGCATAACAAGGGGCTTTCTATATAGTAGTATGTTACTGATTTCAGCTAGGCCTGTATACATTGTACATGTACTTGTAGAAATTAAGATTATTATTATTATGTGTGGGTTCCATACTGGTGCTATGTACTCCAAGATGGGTCTGACATATCTTGAATAAAGCACCCAGAATAACTCTTTGCTTGAAATTCCTGAAGGCCACTTTCAGATTTGCCAGGCGAGTATTGTTTGCAGAGGTTATTCGGTTGATATGAGCCACTGGAAATATGATAGGCGCTGTGACTACCCACAGGTCCTTCTCTTTGAACAGGGTTAGCAGCCTTTGTTTCCCCGAACCTATACTCAATGTCAGGGTCTTCTGGTCCCTTCCCCAATGTTCATAATTTTTTATTTGCTGGGGTTCAATTCAGTTAGCATTTCTTCGTCCTCATTTGCTTTTATGTCTCATTAGTTTTACATTAGCAAATAGAGATACAGCTGACTTATTTCCATCTGGTGTAACATTCACATAAATCAGAAACAGCACTTTTGTTACCCTTTTGTTGGTTCAGTGATGTATGGTAACAGTAATGGTATGTAATACCGACAAGATAATGTATATGTGGAAAACCTGGGTATCTTATTCATAGAGATATTTTGCCAGGCAGCGGCTTTATTAATTTAGAACAGAGATTATTTGAAGGTGTTGAAACTGAAGACAGTAGAAGACAAGATATTCAGTCTCTCGGCCTAGATGAAGGTGTTTACCACCGAAATCATAATGAATCTGAAACAAAGGCAGGAAGATGGTCACTTATACGGGAGTTAGATGAGGTGCAGCAGTAGAAGACATCACCACAGGCGGGCACAAATGGAAGTAGGTAATGCACATGAATTGGGCCAGAGGTTAGCAAACAGGTTGTCTTCTACTGCTTGGACAGCCAACAGGCTTGTGTGAGTGTTAGGAGTGAGTGGAGGCAAGTGATTTCATGATTTGGGGTGTTGTTGAGTGTAGGAAGGGATTCAGGGGAAAGTGGTTACCTGGAGGTTATTCCGGGGATCAACGCCCCCGCGGCCCGGTCCATGACCAGGCCTCCCGATGGATCAGGGCCTGATCAACTAGGCTGTTACTGCTGGCCGCACGTAGTCCAACGTACGAGCCACAGCCCGGCTGATCCGGCACTGACTTTAGGTATCTGTCCAGCTCTCTCTTGAAGGCAGCCAGGGGTTTATTGGCAATTCCCCTAATGCTTGATGGGAGGCTGTTGAACAGTCTTGGGCCCCGGACACTTATGTTGTTTCCCTTAGTGTACCAATGGCGCCCCTACTTTTCTATTGGGGGGATTTTGCATCGCCTGCCCAGTCTTTTACTTTCGTAGGGATGATTTCTGTGTGCAGATTTGGGACCATTCCTTCCAGGGGTTTTCCAAGTGTAGAATTATGATATATCTCTCCCTCCTGCGTTCCAACGAGTACAAGTCAAGTGCTTCCAATCATTCCCAGTAGTTAAGGTGCTTGACAAAACTTATACTGCAGTAAAGGATCTCTGTACACTCTCTAGATTTGCGATTTCACCTGCTTTGAATGGAGATGTTAATGTACAGCAGTATTCCAGCCTAGAGAGAACAAATGATTTGAAAAGGATCATCATTGGCTTGGCATCTCTTGTTTTGAACGTTCTCATTATCCATCCTATCATTTTCTTTGCATGTGCGATCGTGGCACTGTTGTGATCCTTGAAAGTGAGATCCTCAGACATTAGTACTCACAGGTCCGTTACATTATTTTTCCACTCTATTGTATGGCCAGAGTCTGTAGTGTACATACTCTGTTCTAGTTATTATCTCCTCCAGTTTTCCATAACGGAGTAGTTGGAATTTGTCCTCATTGAACATCGTATTGTTTACCGTTGCCCACTGGAAAACTTTGTTTATATCTTCTTGGAGGTTAACCGCGTCCTCAGCAGATGACAGCCTCATGCAGATCCTAGTGTCATCCGCAAAGGATGATACGGTGCTGTGATGTATATCTCTGTCTATGTCTGATATGAGGATGAGGAATAAGATGGGGGCGAGTACTGTGCCTTGTGGAACAGCTCTTCACTATGGCAGCCTCCGATTTAACTCTGGTGAAGCTGGAGGTGCTGTCCTGGGAGACAGTAATGGTGAAGCTGGAGGTGCTGTCCTGGGAGACAGTAATGGTGAAGCTGGAGATGCTGTCCTGGGAGACAGTAATGGTGAAGCTGGAGATGCTGTCCTGGGAGACAGTAATGGTGAAGCTGGAGATTTTGTCCAGGTAGTCGGGAATTATACGCAGGAAGGAATACATATAAATGACC